AACGAATATGAATTGGAGCACATGGGATGAATTTATATTGGATACGTATGCAGATTCAACGCCGCCCTCCGCATCGGCGCAGGGCACGAATAATTAACTACGGCAGACTTTGTTGAACTAGCTGTCATGTACCAGTACTCATCGGGAGGTGGTTCGGGATATTGGCATTTTTAATTTGGCTTACGAAACTATGTAGCTCTACTCATACGATACACAACATGCCGCCCATGGCCAATATGGGCTCATGGAAGGGATCGACAGCGTAATGTATAAACAATAAAGAATCCCGGACGACTCCTGTTCCTTGATGATTCTTGAGCCTTAGACAGATGCATTCGTCATTCCCATCATTCACGTGAATACCTCGAGACGACTCGTGACGTCGGTTTTTTAAGTTTCATTCATTGATTTGGGCTCTATCCTCTTGAAGAGCTCTCATGCTGAATTGATTCATGAAATATTTTCCGCAATTCCGTAGTGAACACCGGGCAAAGACCATTTCCCATAAACCTCCCACCACACACATAACACGAAAAACCCCTATGCGAAGGTAGACGGGCGGGTGGCGCTGAAGATCTTCTTGTTGCTGATACGGGGGATACGGTGGGGAAGAGGGAAAGCGAGATCCTTGGTGATGAGCTGCTTGATGTAAGGGCGCTTGACGTCGTCGGACTTCTCGATCTCGACAACGCGGAGGATCTACGGGTTCATGTTAGCGAGTGCCATCTCTGTGAATGCCGTCTTTTGTAATTTCGTACGTGAATTGACCTGAAACGGGCACGGTGGCGAGCGGACATGTCGGAGTAGAGAGCCTCGATGGCATCTGTTCTCGAGAGCTCACGGTACTCCTTGTACATGTTGTGAGTGCCGGAGCGGGAGTCGTATCGGATCCAGATACCGAAGTTCTTGACGCGCAGAGGGTTCTTCTCGTTGATCTATCACAAATACATCAGCTTCGAAGCCTTTCCCCGGATTTCCCGATATCATGATTGTCTAGACGTACCTTGTTCAAGCTAACAATCTCGCCATTTGCCTTCTTGACCTTCCTCAGCTTCATCAGGAAGTACCAGAAGCGGGACTTGGCGACAACCTCGTTGGGGGCGAAGATGCGCATGCGGTAGAGCTTCGGGGTGGGGTTAGCCTCGGAGGGCAGGTGGCGCCCGATGACCTGGTATTCCTGAAGGCGACCTGATGGCTAAGGGTTAGCTGATGAATTGTAGAGCGACAGTACAACCCGGCAGATCGTCTTAAGTGGCAAACGTCGACAATCAACGGTTCAAGAGTCGAGAAGGCCGAGGCAATGGGATGTTGTGGCGTGGTTCAGCGTCCGAGTAAAGAAACCACAGTTGAGATTGATTCCAAAAAGCCATATTGTCAAGCATGTCCCCAGCCATATTTCGCTCCTTTGACAGTCCTTATTCAATGTAACACTCGTTCGGTGCCCATGTAACAATCTAAGTATCGATTTAGGCTCGTATCGCTGTGTGCTGATGCCAATTTCGTTCAAGAGTTCTTCGTAGTTAATCGTCGTCGGAGTGGTCTTCGTCGACATCGAATTCCAAGGGGCTGCCATTGCATGATCGGATGAAAAGAAAATCGCTTACCCATCTGAAATCAATAGCTGTTAGCAGATAAACAAATACACTCTGCAAGGATTGCAACTTACTGTGACTTGAATCCGGTCCTGTTGTCGTGGAGGTTAGTATGAGGTGCAAAAGCTCGCGGTTGCTTGTAGTGGAGGCTTCTTTGGGGCACGTCTTCGGCTACGAGAACTTTTTGCGAAATTCTGTGCTGAGGGTTTCCCGCCCTAGCAATTCGGAGGTACTGTGGCTAAAAAGCTGGGCTGGGGAGTGTGGCTTAGTATTCCAATGGTGGGGTTCGCATGTACCTAGGTACTTCGTGCCAACAGATCCATTTGGGTAAGACCCATGGATCTTGGAAGCAGGCATGTTGGACCGTGCACATCGGTTTGTAGCTGCTGGGATGAGCCAATCAAAGTGGACTATGCCGGGTACTTCAGTGAAGCAGTTCTTTCATCAATCTTCCAATAAATCCCATCAAAGAGCAAGACAACAACAAGAAAATAAACACGTATAGATCGCGTATCAAACACACATTGACAATCTCAAGCTGGTGTAAGTTGATGAGGGCTTGATACGGTTGCAAGTCCTACACTCAATTTAGTCATGGACGGCCTGATTCGTCAATTTCGAGTAGCATATGCTGCTACAAATGGCGAACAACTAGCCGAGACCCTAATCCCGGACATCCAGGCCCATTCAGCAAAGCTACGAGCAATATGGGGCCGTGGTGATCTCCGATCGATGACATCTGATCTCAACTTCCTTTTCCATCAAGACCAGGCTCGCTTCAGTATCAGGCTATCCAAGGAAGAAACGAGTGGTTGGTATGCCATCTACAGTGCCTATTGGAAAGCCGTTGGAGAATTATTAGCCGTCGAAGGCTTGCGAGATGATGCACACGTAAGCCGGACTCGTTTACTTTGCTTGCTGGCTTAGGTCATTCCTGAGGTTTGCTCTTGTTTCCGTGTTTCTTCTCGCTAACTGGGCCAAGTCATCATGGGCTACGGTATACGACGCATGGAAAGAGGTCACATTACTTGTCATTAGGGGCTATACAAACCATGACTTTGAAAACTGGACCATCCCATGTCTCTACGTCGCCGGGAAATATTTGAGACTCTATGCCATGCGCGCCGATGCTGAGAGGAGCCTAACCAATGATAATGCGGCCATTGACGACCTTCAAGATGATTTCGATCCGCAAGCAGAGGAGCATAAGAGTCTTGAAGATTGCGCAAGACATCTAAACAGGATCTTCCAGGTCTGCGCCTCAGATAGGTGACTCCCCTCGATAATTGGATGCCAGATACGACTGTTGCTAATATGAATCAGGGCTCCTTTAGAAGAATCCCGCAAATGGGGCGTCTATTACGCTGTCAATCTTCTATTCAAGACATATTTCAAGCTAAACTCAGAGCCCCTGTCGAAGAACATCCTAAAGGTGATATCGGCTGGTCGAAGTGACATCCCTCCAATCGACAAGTTCCCTACGTCACAGCAAGTCACATTCAAATATTATGAAGGTGTTCTCTCTTTTCTGGAAGAGAATTATGTCGAAGTAGGCGATAAAGTCCAGTCCTATATTGACGGCGACTAATGGGACTTTAGGCCGAGAAACATCTTGAGATGGCTTGGCTGATGTGCCATAAGGATGCACAGCGAAACCTCGAGTATGCTCTTATATGTCCCTATCCCGTGGTACGCTTTCTAATCTTTTGACAGGCTTATACTCACTTATCTTATTCCGTGTCGATTATTAACAACCCATACATTACCTAGTGCCAAACTTCTTGAGCCATTTCCACGTCTACAAAAGCTATTTACGCCCTTAGCTCGTGCTATCAAGAAAGCCGACCTGCGAGAGTTTGATATAGCTCTCCGCGACGGCGAAGAGGAGTTTATAAAACGGCGTGTTTATTTGACATTGGAGCGCGGACGTGACATTGTCCTCCGCAACTTATTACGCAAGGTCTTCATAGCAGGCGGGTTCGAGGAGGCCAAAGACGGAGCAGCACCCGTACGGAGAACCAGAATTCCTATTGCCGAATTCACAGCAGCCGTGCAGATGAGCAGTGGAGAGGCTATAGACTCGGACGAAGTCGAATGCCTAATGGCCAACATGATATACAAGGTACGTCACAGCCATTAATTCAGATACCGCCAGAGTCAAACCCTGTGCTTCGTGATCACTTGCCCCGGAGAGAATTGAGTCACATTCTCGTGGCCAACCTGTCCCCCGCCCAGACCCTCGAACCACTTACCCAATATCGCCCCCTCCATTACAAGCTCGCTCTCCGATATCTTGCATGATGTGCACCATTAACATCGGAAGTTAGAATCTCATGAAAGGGTATATTGCCCACGAACGCGGAACTGTTGTCTTAAGCAAGTCCGGTGCCTTCCCAGGGACCAAAGTATGAACTCATCAAATCTACAAGAATGCAAACTACAAGAAAGCACAGATGCATGTAAGAACTTCGCAAGATGCATATCAACAGCAATATAGAAGGCGATACACGTTCGCGGTTGCCACTAGTAGACATATCGGGATCTCGGACATTGTTATTGGGCAGCCTTGCACGCGGTCTGAGTCGGAGTCATAGTGGAAAACATCGCAACTGGGTGTGGGGAAGATGGCATAGGCAGATAGCCGCCGCGCAGGCAGGCTAGTATGTACCTAGTCATACTGCCGCTTAGCCAGAGGAGCAGACAGGAAGAAAGCAGCAGGGCGGGTTGTCGGCTCACACAATCCCAGCATCTTCCAGGTCGCCAGCACTTACGCAGAAGGAGAAGATACAGCATAGCGTAGTATTCTAGGCCACGCTTAGCTACACACACTGCCACCCAAGTTCCATGAAAGCAAATTCTCATCATCATCAGGCATCTGCTCTATTAACGCTTTGAACTATTAGTCCGCCATATAGAGCACGGCAACCCAAGTTTAAAGTGGTGCTGCAAAGTAGACAGAAACCATAAAAGTGTCAAAATACGGCTGGAAGAAAGATGAGCCACACCTCATTCACCACCACCCTCCGCCCTAGAATAGGCGGCACAAATGCAGCCACAATACTGCGTAAGGTAGTACTCACTGTAATGACTCACGAAATCAGTTGCGTAACTCAATGCCGCAAAATGCCTTAGGCTTTACTGCTAGACCAAGCTGCACTCCATGTGCTCACAGTATGTAAAAACCTGGGCACAGTGCCACATACAGAGCCACCAAGAAGGTATTACGACTTGTAGAATTCAGTGGAACAGGGAACTCTCCTTGGGTATTTATTTTAACCAGGCACAATGAGCCACAAATATGGAGAAACTGAAAAAATAAGAGACCGCATGAGCATGAGACTAAGGACGCGTGAACAGGAGGGAGAGGGATGGAAAAAAATAACGCCAAAAATAAGGCTGAAAAAAGTTGGGCTCAACCGGGATTCGAACCCGGGGCCTCTCGCATGCTCGGAACAGACCCAAAGCGAGAATCATACCACTAGACCATTGAGCCAATAACCATTGAGTACTTGGTGTCGATTCTAAAGACAATCATCAAATTAGGTAGTTCTCCGACTGCGCCTCATTCCTTGAATATCACCCATTCAGGGGTATGTTTGTACAACATCTTGCTCTTATGTTCTTCGTTTGTGTGCACCCAAACAAGATCTACGCGATCTCGACCAGACGCTAAACTTCTTGAAATTAGTTCACATCTCCATGTGAGCCCTCGGTAGCCATTTCGCTTCTCGGCAACTCCAATGTCTACTTGCATATCCTACTACGAAACGGCATTGGACTTCGTGAAGACTCCTGACTGCTACATACATATTAGTTGCAGCGCTTGTCGAACGGAGGGGGTTGGGGTAGAGATTGCAATTAGCTGTCGTGGCGACGAGGGCTGGACGACCCAACCCAATTGTAAAGCACCCAAAACCTATTTGCGTCCATGCGTGCCTCGAGTCGAGTCGGTGCATATTTGTATCAATAAATGTAAAATTTAAGTGGCTTAACTTTTGGGGGGCCCAACTGGAGGCCCCTATAAGCCCCCTCAGGTGGCGGCGGCACTTTTGCATGTCCTACACGGAGCGATTCCAATCAAGGACGAGATTAAATAACGGCACGGCTGCAGGACTGTCAGATCATACCTAGTATGTCAAGTAATAAAATGGGATGGGCGGTTACACTACATGCTGGCCCGGGACATGGCTTGTGTATTTACGATTGAGACGAATAGGATAAGGGGGCATTACTATTTATATACAATGGTTTTTCAGCAAAACAATCTTCATGTATCTATATTCTCCCCTCTCACACTCATGTTTTCAATACTGCTTCTAGACATTAGATAGACAGCACAGTGTCTAGGTATTTGCTCATGTAGCACATCCACAATAATGGACGACTTCAACCTCGGAGTTCTGACAACAGCCTTCACACCTGCTCCCAATTGCAACTCCTATGTCTCTGGCCTCATTTACACCGAAACTGTAACAACAAACCAGACAACCGCGACAATTGAGCATAAATATCACACGCTCGGCCTCAACAATACGTCCCTATGTTACCCTCCTTATTACCATGTGGGAACTGGATTCTACTATTCGCCTGCTATGTGCCCGTCAGGCTGGTACGCAGCATGTGGCAACTTTGGAAGTGCAAACAACCAGGAGACCCGTGCAACGTGTTGTCCATCGTATGTCACGCTAATCGACTTGATTGATCACCTCGTTCGTACTTGTGTAAGCCAGTGATTGACTGACAGAATTGATTAGGGGGTATAGCTGCGCGGACCCGCCACAAGAAACGGAAACATGGTCGACCTTGTCTTGTATCTCGTACGCCACGTCTAGCATCTACGTTACTGTCCCGGACGATTCATATCAGGTGTGGAACAGAGTGGTTCAGCTTCAAGCCATCGTTAACGCCGGAGCGATCAATGTGCGATGGCAGCCAACAGATTTTATCACCACGACTTCTTCGACTTCTGTGCCGTCGCCATCTTCCTCACCCACACCCTTACATCGGCCTTCCTCGTCGTCTACAACCTCGTCGCCGACGGGACCGCCCATGACCTCCGCATCTTCGCAATCACCGGGGCCTGTGATATCAACGGGTGCTAAGATAGCCATCGGGGTAGGAGTTGGCGGAGGAGCGTTGATAATCTCCGTTGCATGCACGCTTTATTTCATGTTTGTGAAGCGAAATAAGAGAGACAAAGCCGCTCAAGCTTCGAGCGATACGCCCGACGGTCACAACAACAACGACCTGCACTCGATGAAACCTGAAGCACCTGCAGAAGCGTGGGCGCTCCATCAAGCTGAGTTGCAGACCGGGAACAATACGCACGAGATGGGTACAGCATCAAATGTTCCCGAGATGAACAGCTCGTCACCTTCTGCATACCCCTATCACAATTCACCTTGGCGGTCTGCACCCACACAGCCCGCTTATAATTGCGTACCGAACGAGCTCCCGGGGTAGTGGTACAAAAACTTCTAGCATCCTCTAGGTCGTCAATGAAGCAGACGGAATTGATGGATCTGTTGTAAGGCTTTAAAGATACTTGATCATTTATGAGCAGAATAAGCCCCTCTGCTGTTGGCATCTTCTTCTGTCAATAAGTGTTGTTCTGCACCGCATGGGACTTATTTTGCCGACGTCTATAATGGTTTAAGGGGTTACTAACGACACAAGATGCTTGCTATAAGACGCAATTATGCGGGCGTTAACAAGAATACCTTACCGTATCGGTGCCTTTGAAAAGCTATAGGTTCCGGTGTGCACATTGAATTATTGGTTTCTAGCTGTTCTGATTCATGATTCTAACACTTGGCAGACCCCAACTCGACCTTCTATATATATGGCCCCTGACGCGGAAGCAGGTATTCAGGCCCCCCTCCGCTCCGGTATTCTCGACCAGAGAGGTCGAAGGGTCATGGATCCATTACGGTGGCGGACCGCGGCAATGTCCCGGCCGGTACTTTGCGAAACGCCAGATACTATTGACAGTGGCTTTGATGGTTAATCTGTTTGACTGCGAAATACTTGGGGATCGATTGAACGCCAAGGAGGACTTTTCGCTTCACGGTTTCGGGGGCGGCGTTTCACACCCGGCTAGCAAAATTCCAATGAGAATACCGCGAAGGACACTCGACAAGTTCCCGCTGCATGTAATGACAAAGGCCGCTCTAGAAAACGAAAAGTACCGTATACAATAGCTTGGTCAGTTTTTATGAATTGACAGTTCCATGTTTGAAGGTAATTGAGGCGACTCCGGCTAGCGGTTAGTGTTACTGCTAGAGCACATGTACCTAGCGGTTAAATACAGGGACTTAGGTACTTCATGAATCATCCCATCAAAACGTATTCTATGGATTAATAAGCCATGGAGATGGTTCGTCCCAGGCTCTGACAGCAGTAAAATGTGGGCCTCAAATTCTGGATCTACAGTGACATGAGTTCTACTACGGCTATAGTACTTACTCACGGCGGCTCTCAGACCTCCGAAACTCGGGCAACCTGCCCGGCGCAATAGTTGGAGTCGCGCCAGTCTTGCTCAGGCCTTTTTTTTTATTTTTTATTTTTTATTGTTTTTTTACTTTGGCGAGATGCGACTCCGAGCCATTGTCATTTCGCGTACCACAGGCCGCGTTACATGATGTCTTCGATTGTAAGTCTAGTTGTCCCCGTCCGTCTATCCGCAATCCGCTATTCTATTAAAGATAATGACTATACTAATGCGCAAACGGTTGCCTCGATTCTAGCGTAGAGCCGTTGCCCTCAGTCCCCTCCTTCGTTATGCTCCGACCGTCCGTGGCCCTCGAATACCCTATTTTGCCCTCTCGCAGTTCCGCGCCTTCAGGACCACCTCGCCTCGGCGACAACAGCTCGACGCTTTCCCCTCACAACTCGAAAACGCCCATCATGCATCTTTCATATCCTCGAAGAAGCCGGTGGCCGATCCTCAGACCATCACCGAGAAGATCGTTCAACGGTACGCCGTGGGACTTGCACCGGGCAAGAAGGTCAGGCAAGGGGATTTTGTCACGCTACGGCCAGCATGCGTCATGACCCACGACAACGGTTGGCCTGGTAAGCAACATGAAGAGTCATTTTCTTCCCTTTCTAGTAACTGGAGAGCTCCCGAAATGTCTCAGAAGCATGTATCGGGAGCGTCTTTCGGGAGGACAAGGCCTAGTTACAAGAGTAATTATTAACCCTTCATCTTGCAGTTGCTAAGAAGTTTATGGAGATCGGGGCCACCAAGATCTATGATAACCGCCAGATCGTCATGACTATAGATCATGATGTCGCTAACGAATCTGCGTCAAACTTAGAGGTCTAATACCTTACTTTTCTCCCACCATTCCGGATGGTTCTAGGAAGCATCGTGAAGATTAACATTCTAACTCGTTTTCACTCACTAGAAATACCGTCTGCTTGAAGAGTTTGCGAATAAACACGGCTGTTTCTTTTCTGGAAGAGGACAAGGCATAGGGCACCAGCGAGTTATTGAAGAAGGATTTGCGTGGCCCGGAGCAGTCACCGTCGCGAGTGATAGCCATTCTAATATGTATGGCGGCATAGGAGCTCTTGCACGTAAACAGTTTTCGACCGGACAGGTAACAATTGCTGACACACACCTTCACAGGGAACACCTGTGGTAAGGACTGATGCCGCTGCTTTATGGGCGACGGGGTGGGTTGGACACTTTCCCGTAAGCCAGCAGTGGTTAAGTCATGCTAACATGGCATTTGTAGAACAACGTGGTGGCAGGTTCCTCCTGTGCTCAAGGTGAATCTTACTGGTATTCTCCCCATCGGCGTTTCTGGTAAAGATATTATTGGTAAGTTTTCGACCTGATTTATCGAGGGGACGAACGTACCGCGCAACATACCAATTGTTCTTAGTTGCTCTTTGCGGCCTCTTTAATAATGACGAGGCTCTCAACCACTGTATCGAGTTTGCTGCCTCTGAGCAGACTCTAGCAAGCATACCAGTGGATGATCGCCTTTGTGTAAGTAATATGACGACGGAATGGGGAGCCCTTAGTGGTAAGTCACATACACCTGATCAACTTGGATCTGGAATCTGACACTTTCTGCAGGACTTTTCCCTGTCGATGATCTGCTTGTGTCTTGGTATCGTGCTAAGGCATCCCATGCCGCTATGCTGAATACTTCCACTCAAGAGCGTATCAACCACCAGCGAATCGATGGACTTTTGGAGAGTCGGATCACTGCCGATCCCGGCGCCGTTTATGCCAAGGAACTATACCTGAACCTATCCACTTTATCACCAATGGTTGCTGGTCCTAATTCGGTTAGGGCCGTGACACCAGTTGCGAAACTCGAGGCCGAAGGCATTGCTGTCGATAAATGTTATCTCATCAGCTGCACCAACGCCCGAGCTTCAGACATCGGCAGGGCCGCTACCGTCTTTCTCGAAGCCGGCGTAGACGGTAAGCCCGCCAAGGTTGCCCCAGGTGTCAAGTTCTATCTTGCTGCAGCT